TTCCATCCGCAAGTTATTGCCTTCTGTTTTCCGCTCAATCTTGCCGCGCAATAGCGGTCATTCTAGCCTCAGCGGCATCTACGTACTTGCAATGATTCTCCAGTACCCTAGATCTTCGATTGCACCCGCCGGGTGGCTTTCAATGCCGTGACTCGCGTGATGCTAGCATTCAAAAGCATTGGTGAGGTAACGAAACAGTCGTAAGATGATCAGCAGTACTTGAAACGGATCCTAGCGTCCTGCATTCAGGATATCGGGAAGTGATTGATGTTCTTATGAGGTTTGCAACGTGAGCACAATTAAAGCCACTAGAGTCTACGTAATTCTACTTTGACTCGCTTGCCTTCTACTACGGCCGTCATATGACATTGTCGGTGCGTCAAAGATTGGACTGTAGAATACCTGGTTACCTTCAAGTCAACAATCGGACACCGACGAGTAGCAATATGCGTAGGATCATGGCTGATTTCCGCTCCGATTTGCCAATTTGGCCGTCGACCGCAGCCTCGACCTGCACGTCAGAGTGAGGAGATATTGCCAGACAGCTTCCTGCGCCCCTGTAGCCAACAGACAACCTTGGCAGCCAGCCGTTTTTGCCAGTGGCCACGTATAATCGGGCGCAGAACAATGCCACCGCGGACCAACAAGAATGGTGCCAGAACCTAATTCCTCAGCCCCTGATCTGCAGCACGCCTCGTGGCTCCATCCAAGAGGCACGTCACAGCGGGGACGGGGCGGAACAGATGCATTCGAAGACGCCTATTCAGACGAGGCACTGTTGATCAAAATGTCTTTCTTTCATCATGCTGTATCTACATTGGCATCATGGTCAAAATCGCTCGCCCCAATCGTAGGAACCGTTCCGTGTACATCGTGTTTCGACACGGTCGGCATTTCGTGACTTTTGGGGTCAAGTGAGCGCTCCCAGGTGTACAGTCTACACACCCACCACTGTTCCCGGGATGGAGCTCTATGCCCTACCGGATGATGCCTGATACAGCACCCATAGTTTAGTTCGTGCCGGTCGTTTCTCTTCGTTCCTGCCTGGAGGCGACGTTCGCCTGTCGGGCGGGAGGGCGATCTGAGCCGTAAGTCTGTCTGTCTTTCCCTGTTGTTCGAATAACACCTGAAGTGCCCTCATGCGCGCTCCTTTACTTCTGTCCCTGGCTGTATCCGTAGTTGTGAGCTGACGGCTGGTGCTGCTGCTCCTGGGCAAAGCCCGGGGGGCTGCCCCTTGGCACACCCATGCGCTTGAAATGCTTGTAGTCGAGGTACGAGATGCCGGCCATCAGAGTGGCCAATGCACTAATGACGAAAAGCGTTAGATAAAGGTTCACTGGACTGTCCCCCTGTAGGGTGGATGGGAAGCAGGCGGTAGGGCTGGGGCAAGCAATACTCACAAGATGACCAGGGCGACGAGCATGACGGCAACGCTGACGCCGCAGCTGCCGCCGGTGCAAGACCTCGACATGCCCATGCCCTTGAGGATGATGACGACAAACCAGAAGACGGGCTCGATAAAGTTGAGGATCATGTTGGCCTTGAGGCTCTCCCACTTGCGGTAACGGGTTGTGTGCTGGGAGAGGAGCTGGTAGCCGATGATGATCAAGGACTTTACGCTCTGTAGGAGGAGGAGAGATGACCTTGTTAGCATGTTGTTTGAATCGATGCAGTAGAGCGGCGGATGGAAGCTTACGAAGGGGATGATCATAATATCAGAGCGGGTGATAAAGGAGATCATGGAGATGTAGATGCCCGTTAGGATGAGGGCGATGATGATTAGGACTGTTTCGGCAATGTGGAGGCGGAGCTTGAGATGAGGCTCGAAGAAAGCAGCAACGTTGACCATGATGGCGGTTTCCGAGAATCTCAATTCCTGTGGCGATAGCAAGGACGAGGAATGGCGTTCGCAGTGGAGAAGTAAAGTTGAAGATGATCTGAAGCCGTAGGCTCTGGTGGTATTACTGTGTTCAAGCTGTGAAGAGGAGAACAAAATATACAGAAAGGCTGGCGGTTCATCTCGATACATATACGCGTCTCGTTTCCCAACGCTACCCATGCCCCGCCAGCCTCTTCAATCCTGCATCAGACACGACACGAATATCGCGGCGACTCGCGAGGTTCGGCTGCGATTCCGAGAACTCGGCCTCAATGTATTCTCGGGTTTCTCGGCTGTCACCCGAAAACATTCGTATTTCCACAATTTCAGTGTGCGTGAGCCAATGACGGTAGCCCCAGCCCGACTTACACCGACGCTCTTCGTCTGGTCTGATCGTCATTCATTATATGAGACACGCGTTGCCCCTGCTGGGATCTAAGCATTATTTTAGGCTCTTCGAGCCCTTGCGTTGTCTCCTTGTCGAGGAATCCATTGTGGGGATTCAGGGCGCGCGAAGGCGGCTGTGGCGCGATAGAGGCTAGAAACAATGACAAACATGCCCAAAGTTTTGCGTTGCGCTGGCAAGTATCTGACAGGCAAGAGGCAAACCTCCGTCGGATTTGAGCACACCCACCGCCTGCAGGGGCCAGTCCAGTAGCGGTCGAACTCGTGGCTGATCGGGTTCGCCTGTGATCAGGACTGCCATGGAGATGTGGCTGATTGGCGTCAAATCCGACGCGACTCCTTTTTGTTCTTTTCCCAATGTATCCTCTAATGTGAGGTTCCTGTCAGCGTGGAAGAGGGCGCTCTGATCTAGGCGACGCCCAAGTGAAGTCGTACACCATGAGACTTTCCCGCCCGTCGCGGGATTCCTTCAGTACGATGACCATTTCGTCGTCAAATCCAACCCAGTTGCGTCGGTCATCCCACTCATCTCGCGAAGCATCGCCGCCGTTGCTGTCCTCTGCTGGCTGCAGCTGCGAACGGACTTCGATACTTTTGGCATTGGCCCGGCCCTCGAGCTCCCAGACGCGGATCTCTTCGCCCCGGGAGCTGACACTGACAGCCTTGCCGCGCGCCGTGATCTCGACGTCACTGATGCCGGAGGTGTGGCCCCACAGGCGGAGGCCCGGGGACACAGAGAGGGCTGTGGCCGTTGAGGTGCAGACGTGAAGTATCAGGGTGTTGTCGGGCAGGGTAGCCAAGAGGTAGGGGTGTGTGTAGCGAAGAGACGTCGGCCCATCTCCTGGCGAGGCAAACCCAGGTATGTCTGGAGACGAAAATCGGGTTCCAGAAGACCTCGCGCTCTCCGAGGTCCGAGACGGTGTTACAGGAGGCGTCGCATAACCTGATGCCGTTGTGACGGGGGTCGTGTAGGCAAGGCGCGTCGATGTGACCTCGGATTCGCCTGTGCGGCTGTGACGAACGTGAAGGTCTTGGACGCCGATGGACCACCCAGACAGCGTCGCAAAGGTGTATGCGATCGAGGCTACCACTGACCCGGCCATGCTGCGTATGGAGAGTGCGAGTGGTGCCCTCGAGGTATGTGACTTGAGCGATGTCATGAGGATCGGGGCTGGCAGTGATGTTTGGTCTTCAAGGGTCGCATCTTCTGGCTTCTCCTCGTCCTCTTCATCAGAGTCGTATTGGACGTCGAGCTTGCGCACACGGCGATGCCTCGGGTCGTCGGACTTTGCAGCTGGCCGCCGCTCGTAGTTGTAGAGAGATATGAGGACAGAGTCTGTGGCAGTAAGCAGGAAAGGATATCGGTAGGCCAATCCGACCAGAGCGCCATTGCTGGATTTGGCATGCCTATGTCGGCGCTCGAACTTGTTGTCGGCAAGGTCCAGTCTCCAGACGCCAAAGCTACCATCGCCGAACCCCAGACAAATATCCAGATTTTTCTTATCCAGAGACTGGTCGTCAATAGCCATGCAAGTCGGCTCAGAACGCCCTCCGTCGTCGTCGAGCAGGCCCACATGCGCAATCAGGCCCTTCGTCTTGAGATCCCAAGCCCGTAGCCCAGCGGCAGCATCTGCCGTCATGGCAACTCCTTCCACGACCTTGGCCAGGGTCTTCTTCGACACGCTCGTGTCTCCGACATCGAGCTCTTCCACAGTGGCCTTGCCGCGCGCCCAATTGTGCCTCAGCTTGTACTGCCGCTTCCAGTCGGCGTGGACGTCTGGGCCTGAACCGCCGGTACTGCGCACGTCTACGAGACCGCCGCGTTTGCCGATGCCGCCGTCGGCCCAGACGGCGCGGCGCGCAGAGTAGTGCAGCCTGCTGGCGCTCTTCCTGGGTCCATCGCGGAAGCCGGGTATTCGTAGGGCGCGTGGGAGGACGAAGCGCGAGTAGTAGAGGGCGCGCCACAGCTGGGAGTCTGACGCAAGCCGGGAGAGGTGGCGGGAGACGAGGGCGACGTCGAGGAGGGTCGCTATGGGGAGAAACGAGAGAATTCGGACGGCTACCTCGTCGGAGAGGGCAGAGAGGAGATCAGGAGCAGAGCGGCGGGAGGTGGGCGAGCTGGCTATACGTTGGCGCTTGGGATGGGAGGAGGCATCATAGAGGTCGTCGTGCGGCCGGTGCCGCTTGTTCGGCATGCTCATGGGACAGTTGCAGCCAGAGATGAGGAGCCGAGGTGAATGAAAAGGCCTCAGCAGATGGTTCCGGGAATCGAGTTCTTAGAGGAGCTTCGTAAAGAGCTTGACCTCTGAGATAATAAGCTGTTCAAACTGACGAGTTGGTCGAGGCCAAGGCGATGATGGCGGTGAGGCGGCGGCGGATGCAGGTGCTGGAGAATGTTCGATCCCAAGTCCGACACCCGCCAGATCCCCCGCAGCCAGTGCGCTAGGGAGGAACTTTGACCCCTGTAACTTTATTCTCACAGCGACTAGGGGCCGAAGCTTTGGGTGGGTGCATCATGAAAGCTCCACCTGTGATTCCTCAAAATCGCAGCCTCGTCCTCATCGCAAAACAACATCCTCATCATTTCCACGACATCTCCCGCCTTCCAACCGCCCACCAGCATCGTCGATTCCCTCCGGGAAAACACCTCTCTTGGCCTCCGCACACCCAATATTGCACACATCAACACACATACAGCATTACTTGACCCCGCGAAATGCCTCCGGTTTGTCTACCTGCCTGCCTTTTCGGATCCAAATCCCTAACGTGTACCTCCCCTCCAGCGCCATCAAACCCTGCCGCCCGCGGCCACCTCGTCCGCACGTGAAGCTTTGCAGTCGTTCTACTGCAGTCTTTGCTCCAAGGGCTACTCACGCATGAACGACTACGAAGCCCATCTCTCGAGCTACGATCACAGTCACAAGCAGCGTCTGAAGGACATGAAAGCCATGGTCCGCGACCCCAACGCCGGCGCTCGCGCTCGCAAGGCCGAAGCCAAGGCGGATGGCATTATTGCCATCAAGACGCCGGCCAGCGGTGCTGCCCCCAATGGCGGCGGTGGAGGCGGTGAAGGTGGCTTCAAGAAGGGCGGTTTCAAGAAGTCGGGCTTCAAGTCAGCATTCGCGCCAGCGGCCGAGACACCTTCCGCCCCTGCTGCCGTGGAAGCCCCCAAGTGTGATGTCGTGAGGCCACCTCTACCGTCAGTTGAGGACAAGGAATCGGCTGAGGAGAGACCCGGCCTGCTGGAGAGCGATACCGACGACGAAGATTACGACCACTACGACCCGCGATATCCCACCGACTGAGCAACCGCTTTGCTTCACTCCAATTCGCAGTGGATTGTGGCTCGCCACGTCCCCTCTAGGATACAAATCCAAACAGGATGGACGCTCTCATCTACTGGAGCGCATCGTAAATCCAACCCATTTACTCGATCCACCCCGTTGGCCCGAACTGCGAGAGATCTTCTTCCAGCAAGCCCATCATCTGTTGGTTTCCAGAGAACCAGTTAGCCAGCTGCTCCGACTGCACCGCTGTATGCGCCGCCGCACCGGCCTCGACTCCAGTGCCCGGCGCCAGCAGTTCGTTGGGAGGGAAGCCCAGCGCGCTCAGGTACATGTCAAACTCTTCGTTGATGGGCGCCTGATTGGCCGCGGGCTGCTGCGCCTTGGCTTCAACGTAGGTCAGGGCCACGTTGTACAGCACCTGGCACAGTCGATGCAGCTTCTGCACCGGCTCCGAAATGGGCGACGCGCCCCCGAGCGAGTCAGCAAACTCATAGAGCCGCTTGAGATCTTCTGCCGAGGAGGTCTCAATGACGTGGCAGAAGAGGACAAAGAAGGGCGCAAAGGGCGTCAGGAGGATGGCCCTGCGGCGTGTTAGCTCGATTCAGCTGGAAAATCCGATCACTCGATGCAAGCCGCGAGAGGGCAGACCACGCCAATCGTGGTACTGAGGCTATCATGACTTACCAGTGGACGTAGACAGCCTTCATGTGCTGCGCCTCGTCAAGCTGCGCCATGCACTCGTGGTGGATCTGCATGGCGAAGCGCGCCGTCTCAATGCACTCCTGCGTGAAGCGGCTGGGCGAGCCCTCGGGGGCGGGAATGGCGCGGTAGATCAGCGTCAACGTGGACTGGTGTGTCAACTCGTCGCCGCGCAGGTGAATGTCGATGAGGGCCGAGGCGTTGAGGGCCTTGAACCCGAACATGGCCTGCTCGCGCGCCTGCGACGCCGCCGCCATAATGTCCTTCTGATCAGCCTCGAGGCGGCGTGCAGCCTCGACGCGTTCGTGCCGCGGCCGGGCAAGGGCGGTTGGGCTGTAGAGGTGCTCGTAGACGCGGTGGTGCATCTCGGACTCGCGGATCCACGTCGTGATGATGGCGCCCCACGGGTCCTCCACCATGGTGCTGTCGACCGTCCGCGGCAGCGTTATGTCCCAGTCCTGGATGGCCGACGACCGCCCCGTGCGCAGCGCGAGGCTCTTGTCGAGCATGTACGTGTGCCAGAAGAGTAGCGTCTTGACGTCCTTGCCGCTGGCGTGGGGCTCGGGCTTGACGCGGGACGCCCGGTGGTAGCCCAGCGTCTGGCACAAGGTCGCTGCCGTCGAGACAAAGTGCCACGCGAGCGATGTCTTGGACACGTCTATGGAGTACAGGGTCTGCCAGAACGTCAGCGTCCTTCGACACGCCAAATTGGACACGTTTCTTTCTCTCTCTCTCTGGAATAGCACTCACGGCAACGAGCAGGGCCTCGATGCTCTCGGCCTTGGCGGGCAGCATGAGCGGCAGGCTTGCGAGGGCCGTCTCGAGGTTCACCTGGCACATGCGCTGGTACAGCTGAAAGTCAGCCCTCGACGCGTTGTCCTTGGCCAGGAAGCTCTGCTCCATGAAGAGGTAGTACAAGGAGCCCACAACGATAACAAAGCACGGGTGAGAAAAGGTGTCGGTGCAGAAATAGACCTTGCGGCAGAGCTCCGAGAGATCGTCAATGTCGAGGAAGGAGCAGGCTATGGCGAAGATGCTGGGCGGGGCCGCTGGCATGACGTTTCAGCATTGGGTCTTCTTTTCGGCTCTGAGGGCCTCGGAGTGTACGCAGGGTGTGTAGAGACGGGGCGGACAGACCTTTCTGGTGCTTCAGCAGGGACACGACGGCGGCCATCGGGGGCATCGGCAGCTCCGGTAGACCGCCGGGCGGCAGGGGTTGCTGGTTGGGGAACTTGAGCTCGCGGATGGACGACGACTCGTTCTGCATCGAGACCATCTGGCGCAGGGTCAGCAGGGCGGACTGCATGTTGGGCGTCACGTCGCTCAGGGAGGTCCTCTGGACGGCGTTCTCGAGAAAGTCGCGGGCGAAGACCGTGTGCGCCGTCAGCGAGAGGTCGCCCTCGAAGGCTTCCGTCTCATCGTCGTCGTCGTCCGGCTCTTCGTGTGCAAAGGCTTGGGCATCGCCCTTTGGAGCCGAAGCTGGAACGCTCGGTGTCGTTGTCGTGGCGCGCCTCAAGTGGTTGAACTCGGAGGCGAGACCACTGTTGGCGATTGTGCGTAGGGCGTCCTCGATACCGGACAGCCTCTCCTCGATGAGGTCAATTTTCCTCTCACTAGAGTGGCGTATCAATATGAAGATGCATGAGTACTCGCGGGATGGCGAGGTGACCTGAAATTAGCGTAAAGTTCAAAAGGTTGACTGACTATTGATGCGAGATGAGCACGCGTTGCCGTTGCTCTCTGGGTTTATGTGTAACGCCGATGGAGCTACATGACCGCAGAGCCGTCCGGCAGTTGGAGCATGGCGTGCCCTTGTCACAGCGAATCTGCCACTCATCAGCTTCATGCTCGCGTGCACATCAAGTCAGACGGCGAGGTGTTGGTCGCAGCAAGCTGGCCAGGGTGCATAGAGAAAGAAGGGCGAGGGGATATGACTGGGAACTCACTTTCCGTATCCTACATTGGTCACACTATTTCAATCCATGTCGCGTCAGCCAACGGTCACAACTCATAAGAGGCAAAAAAAAAAAGGCCGGTCCGTGGACGGCCGGCGGGGTTGGCGGAACACGGCACGCCATGGCCCGGCCGATTCAGAGACATACCGCTCTGCGGAGATTCGGATCCTCGGGCCCCGTAGACGGATCGACGTCCATGACTTGGTCGTCTCGGGGCGTTGTCCTATTATGAAGAATTGAAGATCGTACGGATTCGGGACCTTCGGCGATGGGTTGCGATGGAAGGCCGCGCAAGCTGTCGGCCACGACGAGACCAAGGCGGCAAACAGAGGGAGTTGAGCTAGGCAGCAGGCTGGCAGTCGCCCTGCCTTGACTCGACCAACGAATAACGACCTAGGTAGGTAGACAATGCGAACCGGAGATTTTGGACAGGCCGGATGGCTCTTCTTTGGATCTTTTGGACGGCGGCCGCTTGTGATGATGGACAGATGGGGCTAGCGTCTTTGCCGCTTTAACCGAGCCTTTCTGTTCCAAGGCTGAGCTTGAGCGGCTTCTCGACAACGTGAATACGATATCTGAGAGTCTGGACTGAGGAATGTGCTATTACAGAAGTCGAACAAAACCAGGAGGCTGTATTGGCCCGTCCTTGAAGCAGAGTTGGCATGTCAAGGCATGTCTGATCGATCATGTATTAGGTCTGAGCAGCTTTGGTGTCAACCCATCTGGGCTACCATTCTAATTGCAACATACGACGGACTCTATTGGTAGAGGAGCATAGTGGCTTCTAGTTGTTGCACATCATCAAGCAGGACAACTTGGGAGCAGTTTGCCCGTGATAAAATCACTAGCGCAAGTCTTAACAGAGGTGCATGGAAACGAAGTATTCTGACAGTCGCCACATGAAATCATTCTCATGAGATAGTAGGTCGTCTGTTGCAGCCCTTCATTGAGAACGATTCCAAATGTCGTGAAGGGTCTGAGGCTGCCTAAGGTAGAGTTCGATGCAGTGCCCGAACAGCAGCATGCTTATAGGGGCTTCAGAAGCCTCAGGGGCTTTATTAGGGGCGACTCAGGGCTTCCACAGGCCTCGAAGCCGCGCACGGGGGCTCCCCCCGACGTCATCGGCCTCGACACCTCGAAGTGGGTCGCAGCGCACCGCTGAGCCTATAGCACGCCTGACGATTGTCAGGTGCGACGCGATCCATCAACCACTTATGAATTATTGCCCATCGCATGCTCTCTCCAGCTGCTCTCTCCAGCAGCCCGAGACTGATACCAGGCCCTCACACGCAATGGCGTACGCTCTTCATGAGCAGGCGTCTCAGGAGACCCTAGTGTCCCTGCTCCAGCTCGACCCAGCACCCATAGAGTCTCCTTACGCCGAAGACGAGAAGGATCTCCAGTTCTCGCCAGAAGACGATGCCGAGCACACAAAACCCACGACAGCTGGCTCACCAACACCTCTCGGCCTCAGCCGCAGCAATAGCCATGCTTCGCACAACTCCATTTACTACCGTATGGACCTAGCCTTTGCGCCTGAAACCCCTCCGCCGCTTTGATGCTAAGAAACCCCCAGTCACCCGCATCCAGAAATACTCGTCCTACCTGATCCCCGTCTTCACGACCATCCACCTCGCCAACACCTCCCTGATCCCTCTCATCACTCGCTCCGTCCCCGCCTCCGAGACCTACCTCCTCCAGGCCCGCGAGCTCTACCAGACCACCCTGACCGAGCCCCTCCTCGTCACCCTGCCCATAGCCGCCCACATCGCCTCGGGCCTCGCCCTGCGCCTGATCCGCCGCTCCCAGAACCTCGCGCGCTACGGCGGCAGCACGCCGGGCATGTACGCCCTCGCCCGCTCGCGCACAAACTCGCCCTCTCGACACGGCGACGGCAACAGCAGCAGCAGCAACACCCGCAGCCACCGCCACGACGCCAGCAACGCCCGCGGCAAGCCGCAGGCCCTGCGCATCTGGCCGCCCCTCAGCTGGATCGCCACGTCAGGCTACGTCCTCGCCGGCCTGGTGGCGGCCCACGCATGCGTCAACCGCCTGCTGCCCCTCTACGTCGAGGGCGACAGCGCCAACATTGGCCTCGCCTACGTCGCCCACGGCTTCGCCCGCCACCCCTTCGTCTCGTGGACCGCCTACGTCGCCCTCGTTGCGGCGACGGCCGGCCACACCGTGTGGGGCGCCGCGCGCTGGGCCGGGATCGCGCCCGTGGCCATGGGCTGGCGCGGCGCCGGCCCGCGCGTCGAGGACAAGAGCGTCCGGCGCAGGAGGCGCAGGGCCTGGTGGGGGGTGCAGGGGGCTGTCGTTGCTGTTGCGGCCCTGTGGGCTGCTGGCGGGCTTGGCGTCGTTGCCCGGGGAGGGCCGACGCATGGCTGGGTCGGCAAGGTGTATGACAGTATTTATGATGTGTTGCCTTGGTAAGGAGTCTGTTGGGCTTGGTACTGTACACATGAGAAGTTGTCGAGACAGCAATGTCCCTGCATAGAGGGGACTGCTTGTACCAACAGGTGTGAGATCGCGACTGTAATTTATATCAGCATATGGCGGCTTTTCCATCGTCTATTAGACCACCTTCGTAACATGTCCCTAAGACGAAGAGCAAAGCACGCCCGCTGAGATCAACTGTAGTGTATTCAAGTGACCGCTTTAAGACGAGGACTCGAACGTCCGTATCTCTGAAATTACATGCAGCGCTGGTGATTTTCCTTTCGCCTTAACCTTAGGAGGTACAAGCAGTTGCTGTCGGATTTTTGCCACGGATGTGCTTCATTGCAGCAGTTCAAGTCTTCGTCCCCGTGTGCTGCCATCCCATACCCAACGCAACGCTTGTCATCGGTCTCGCGTGTTAACCAGCCCCTGGCCAGCCCCTCTCCCTCATGACCCTGCCATAAGTTCAGGATGGCACCTTGGTGGACAACGGCAGCCCGCGCCGGCTCGAAGTGCCTCGCTAACGACGTCCCCTGACGGCTCCAGCACAAGGCCCGCCGCCCCCAAAGTTCTCCTCGCTATCGCTGGCGCCCGCAAAGACAATGTCCGGCTTGCCACCGGGGCACTCATCGTCCTCATCAGGGCCTCGGTATCCGTAAATGATGTTGCAAGGGGGTACCACACTGGAATCGTCCCCATTGCCTGGCATGAACAGCCACCCGTTGCAGCCTTCCCTAGTGGACTGGTAGCACTGCTTACAGCAGTCCTCGGCATCATCGGCGTCGCTGAGTTTAAACTTCCATCCGACCTCGCCAGCAATCCCTATCCAGTTGACATCGGTCCTGAAGTCGGATGGCCTGCATTCGGCAATCTGATTTCCCAGCGCGTCAGCATGGGCTCTGGAACTGCTCATGTTTGAAAGGTCCGGGCTTGTAATGGGACTCACAGGGCTGGAGATAGACGTCCTGGAGGCTAAAGGGCTTGACGACGTGTCCGTCCGTGAAACATGCGTGGTGGTGAAGGAGGTCTCGCCAGAAGGTATGCCATCATCTATCAAGCGAGAATTATCACGCCTCTGCAAGACAACGACCGGCACAATAATGGCCACAAGTAAGACGACGACGAGAGGAAGCAGGAGCTTCCATGAGCAGAGACGACTGTTGAGAATACGTGTCTTCCAGGGCAGGTGCTCCGGAACCGGGGGTTTGTTTTCAGAGGCCGAAGGAGGGCGGATATCAGCTTCAACATCGACAGCACCATCTAAGCCCTTCAAACTCTGACCGGGAACGACCTCAGGGGCCTGTTCAACGGTGATCTGAGGTGCAGCGTTGGCATCGTACTCGGCCCAGTCAGTGCCACTTTCGCGTTGGCTTTGCTGGTTTGACTTCTGTCTCTGATCCTGCCCTGAATCTTCAATACTCGTGTCCTTCAGGGAATCGTTGGCTGCCATGGTGGCAAGACTGTGGAGAGTTTGCCTTGAGGATGGCGGCCGCGGCTGTCGTACTACTTATGTGTGGGTGTGAGCGGTTGTCGAAAGGTCTTTTCTCTCCTGATTGTGCGAGTTGAAGGATGGGAGACTCATGAAATAGGACTAGCAAGGGCGCTTAGTGAATGTACGGCTGTGGAGATAGTATGTCGGAGCATCGGTACGGTGGTGGTAAGTATTCAAGGAAACAAAAGGTCCTTAGTATTCCTCTTGATCTGTATGTCAGATAACTTGGAGCCGACGGCTCGAATCCAACAGAGGGTATCCAGCAACAAGAAGGCGCGATGGCATCAGTGGGCCAGGTACCTAGGGTCTGGGGAATTTCTGGTTGAGATCAAAGAAGGACAAGCGGTAAAAGATGCCTGGTCCTGGCTGGGGATCGAGTATGACCGTAGTATGAGGCAGGCACAGCCACCAGTGCGGTTGCTGGTGCAAGTGCAGGTAGGTGCAGGTGCAGGTGCAGGTTACCTTGTGAAACGGCAGGCAGGTGTTTTGTTCGACCAGCATGCATTCTGATATCGGGCAGGCGCATGAATGAAGCCCCTCCTTCCCCTGACGGCCCTTTAACCATGGCAAACATATACCAGCGAAAGACCTACTGGCATGTCCTCCCTCAACCACACCAAGGTCCAGCTGAGAGACTTACAGCGGGCTATCCATCTGGGCCGAGTGGATCATACACGAAGGCGAGGACACCCAGTTCAAGTAACAAGCTCTGGAAGACACCTCTGCACGTAGGTACTTTGGAAAAGGGTGGAGAGGTGGTGTGTGCAATTCTTGTCATGAACCCTCCCAACGCAGCGCTGATACATCATATTGTACATGAACGTTACTCAAAGGCTTACTTACCCCTTATCCCACATCTCAACCTAGCAACTTGTAGCAGGGCTGGGGGATAGTCCTACTCAAAATGGGGTTCAATGTTTTTCTTTCATCACATACCAGGCCGAAACCCCATATGTTCGTGTCTCATGGTGGCACCAAACGGGACTTCGAGACACACATGGATCGCACGGGGGCAGAACCTCATCGTCTATACATGTCTGCAGCGTCTATGGGTGCTACTGGCCTCGCTAAGCAACAAAAGTTCGTCCATCTCACGCTTGAAGTCGATCCCTGCATGAGCCCCTCTAACGTCACTCATTAAGTATCGTCCCTTCAAACAAGGGTCTTCGCCTCACCCTCCTTCAGCTTGCCAGCGCCAACGAGACGCTTGACCTCGGCGCTCCACACGCTTTTGATCTCACCGGCGACAGTCAGACCGTTGAGCTTGCCAGCGAGCGCGGCCATCTCGTCAGCGTCAATCTTGCCCTGGACAAGGTCAACGTCGCCGAGGACAAGGTCGACATCGGTAGCCGAGGGCTCGCCGGACGCGAAGTAGTTGGCGTCCTTGACGGATCCCTTGAGGATACGCTTGTTCTTCTTGACGGCGTTCTTGGCCGCCTCCTTGTTCTTCTTGGCCGAGTCACGGTCCGCCTTGGCAGCAGCCTCGGCATCACGAACAGCCTGCTCCTCAGCGTCCTTCTTCGCCTTGGCGTCCTCGATGGCCTTCTTCTCGGCAGCCTCCTTGTCGGCCTTCTTCTTGTTCTTGGCCGCGTTGGCCTCCTGGCGGAAGCGCTTGATGCGCTCATCACCAGCCGAAGCGTCGTCAAGCAGCTTGCGGAGGCGGGCGTTGTCCTCGACCTTCTTCTTCTTGCGCGCGTTGGCGTTCTTGCGCTCCACGTGACGCTTCTGGTCACGGTTCTCGTTGTCGTCAGGCACATCCTCGTCGAGGTACTCAAACGTGCGCCAGCTGTCAAAGCTGTACCAGAAGTTGTAGAAAGTCTCGACCTCCTCCTGGGTAGCCTTCTCGCCGCCGAACGTGGGCACGGGCTGCTCCTTGGAGAAGCGGCCCTCGGCCTTGAAGACGTTGCTCCACAGCTTGTAGTAGTTGCCCTTGGCGACCTGCTTCTTCGTGGGGGGGTCGACCTCGGCCTTCTCGTCGACAGAGTCAAATTGGCGGCGCTTGATGGGGTCCATCAGCACCTCGTTGGCCTTCTGAAGGCACTTGAAGAAGTTGTCGTCGTCCTGGATACCGGCCGCAGCCTTCTTGTCGGGGTGGTGCTTGAGAACCTTCTTGCGGTGGGCACGCTTGATCTGGTCCTCTGTAGCCTTCCAGCGGTACTTGGAAAGGCCGAGAACCTGGTAGTGGTCCTGGTTCTGTAGTCCACCATGTCAGCATACGCACTCTTTTTCTCCAGTTTCCGACCAATGCCCGCAATAACGATATACCTTCCAGTCCTTGGCGTCGCGGGCGAGATCCATGGGGTCCTCGGCCTCGCTGATCTCACCGAGATCCTCCGCCTCGACGTTCTTGACGGCCTCCTGAGCCTGGATGCGGTCATCCTCAGAGAAGGTACGCTTGTGGCGGGCGCGGCGGGCGTGGGCCAGGAAGTGAGGGCCGACAGGCTCGATGGTGCGCTGGGTGGCGGCGGACAGCTGGCCGATGGCCTGGAAGTCCTTCTCAGCCGTCCAGCCCTCGGCGAGGGCCGGCAGCGGCTGCGCGACAATAGTTGCGGTAGCCATTGTGGATGATGGTTATGGTGGGTTGGCGGTTGGGTCGGGGAAGGGCTCTTCCCGTCCAGAGCTTGGGGAAGTTTTCCTCTCGAAAATTTTAGTGGGGTGACGAGTGGGACACCCGGTAAAGGCGCAGGCTGCCTAAGTGCATACTGGGCCCATCACCGTGATGTGAACAAGATCTTCGAATCAAATTATTGCATGACTTTTATGGATATGACAATGAGTAGTCGTGGTGAGTTCCTAGTGAAGCTTGTGATGTCCACATACATGTTCAAAGCATGTATAGTTGGACCCCAGTCGACCGACTGACCAAAGACACCTTCCTGTCATCAGTACCGGCGTGTTCCCCGTGCAGGTATTGCCTTGGAGCCTCTTGCAACGCGCTGATACGCTGCATAGATGGACATAACTTGTCGTTCTGGGCACGGCATATTTTGCAATAATATCAAGCAAAAGACAGAGATCACAGTCGAGACTGGCAAAAATAATGGTCAGTATGAGGGTCGAACTCATGACCTTGGCATTATTAGTACCACGCTCTAACCAACTGAGCTAACCGACCTTTGAGATAATAAATCACAAGCAAGAACTATCATTCAACAAGAAGATGCCTAGTGCTTAGCCCTTCTACGTTCCAGCCATTGTGATGCTGTTCATGTATGTCATTCTATGAATACTTTCGACCCGAGTACATATTTCATGATGCGGTCCATAGAAAAGCCCTTCGACCAAGTTTCCTAGAGCAGTAGCCGTTTTCTGCTTCATCATCAAGCCGATCCGCAAGGGGGTCCGGGTGAATCACGTGATTGCTTACCATATCGTCTTGTTCACGCCACTGGCTGTCTACGAGTTTAAGTTGTACCAGCAGTTTCGAAAAGTCTATGAACCCTTATGTCCAGACCCAACCGCAGACATGACGGCCCTTGTAGCGTATCGGAATCTGTGGCGGGCCGCCAACATTGCCTTTCAAGGTACGAATTAACCCATTGGACAGTTCGCGGGGCGCCTGCTGACTCTTTGACCCTAGGCGATGCTCCCGTGCTCGCTGCAGCTCGGCAGCAGATCCGCGACAACTTCCGCGAGAAGTCGACCCTTCCCGCCAACGACCCCACGATCCAACCGATGATTCAGAAGGCCGAGGAGGTGGCCAAATTCTTGAGGCACAACCTTGTTCAGGGTCAACCTCAGGGCAATGACAGCTTCAGTGAGTAATGGGTGCATGGTCTGCCGGTTGTACTAATGCTGACGACACCGCAGAGCTTCGGATTCACAAGGACACAGAGAGGGGCGATAACGACTCGATCAAGATTGCAGGACAGGGCAAGGCTTCCGGAGGCTGCTGCCAAGGCTGAAAGGTGGTTTGCAAAGGAAAAGGGAGGGACTCGGTTCCCGTTCTGCTGTACAACAGATGATGATACCCTGTAGAACGATACCATGAATTCTCAGCTCACTTGCTGCCATAAGGCTGACCCTAAGCGGCCTGATCCTGGCCATCCATGCTGCGCTCCAACTCCAAACTCCGCCGTGACCAATTGATTACAATTCTTTTACCATCCGATCACTCGCCCGCCAGACTGGCATACTGGGGCCCGTCGTCGGCTCCGGGAGGAGGCGCCGCGACTGCGCCGTGGCTGCTCTCGCCCTCGTCTGCGCCTCCGCCGCCCGTAAGCTGCTTCTGGCCACCCTGCTGCCCTGCTTTTCTCGCCCCTCCCTGTATCTGGCGACCATCCCTGAGCATATGTCCGCGCTGCTCCTTGTCCATGGTACCGATGGCCTTGGGCACACCCCAACGGACCCTGAGCGGACAACCTGCAATGACGGCGCGCCCCTTACACTCTGCTGCAGCCCTCTCGGCACCTTCGCGCGTTTCGTAGTTGACAAAGGCGCAATGCGACATGTGTGAGCAGATCAAACTCTTGATCTTGCCATGGGCCTTGAAGAAGTCCCTGATCTTGTGTTCTGGCAGGTCGTCCTCGACACCCGTGACAAAGAGCGACATGATGTTCTTATCTTGAGGTGGCATCCAGTCCTGAGGGCCGGGAGGCAGCTGCGCAGCACTGGGAAACGCCTGTTTCGCTCTGCCTCCAGGCCCGGCGCCTGCCGCAGCCGCGGCTCTCGAGTCCCCGGTGCGAATCGGACCAGCACCGCCCACGCCGGCACCTACCGCAGGGTCTCCCCCTCTAGATGACCCCCCTTGGCCCCCCGCGTCCGCACCCTCGATGGCCTTGCCTTTCCTGAAGTACGGCTTACTTGTCGCTAGTCGGCGCAAGAGCTCGCGCGCCTTTTCGTCAGTCTTCTCATACTCTTCGACGCCAGCGCGGCCCTCTTCGATTGCTTGCTCGTTATTTTGCGCAAAGTACTCCCTGTTGATGTCGGAGGAGGGACCGGGTGCCACCATTTTCAGGGCAGCGTCTCGAACGACGATTGGTAGGCCGAAGGAGAGATCGAGCATGCATGTCTGACAGCAGTTCTTGAGTCGTGCGCACGTCAAGCAGATGTTCGTCCTCTTTTTGCGACCGTGGGCGCTGTCGGCGCTCCAGCTGAAGACGGTAAAGGGTCGCGTACACTGCATTGGCAGAGTCAGTAAGCAGAATACCAGGATCAAGACACAATATTGACCTACAAGTTTGCACTCGGCGCCGTAGTCTTCCTTCAGCATCTTAACATATGGGTTGTCGGGAAGGCAGCTTTCGCATACGGACGGAAAGTCAGTAGACTCCCAACCAGAGCGGTTGAGGTCCTGTTTGATCTGAGGCGGCATGTCGTTGGCGCGTGCATTCGACGGATATGAAAAGGTGGAAAACAGCCGGATAAAGACGCGCACAAGTGGTCGTGTACTGTCGTGGCGTGTGATGCGGACCAGCGTGAGTGAGGTCACTGCGGTGGCTGGTGAAGTGAGGCAGCCTGATGCGGATTGGGAATTCTTGGATCAGCCTTATTGAATTCGCCCCTCAAGCCGCAGTTCGCTATCTAATCAGTACTGAGCACGTGAGAGCGCATTCAGTCTTGCTGACTCAGAAGTGTTTACTCATGCGCGCCTTCGTTCTACACGCGGCCAGCCACAGGCATCACATGCAACCAATACCCAGGCCCAAGGACCCCCATTCGAATTCGTATTCGCGTTGGCAGAGTGCCAGGACCCCTTTTGGTTGTCCGAACAGGCGGTCTCCTCACCGCCTGCCCAAGCGATCGGGCGCGCCCCGCAATTGGCCAATCATGGCCTTCATGTACATGCCATTGCCAGATTGGCAGATTGGCTGCGGGTGGGAACATTTTCCCGTTTGGCTCCTGAGAGTCGGCTCCCCGAAATTTGAGTACGCCGCCTTGTACTAGAGGAACAATCTCAAATAAAAGCTCTGTCCCTCCATAAGGTTCACCACGCCGTCTACCCCTTTGCCCCTCTTCCATCTCCATTCAAGCCGCGTCTCAATTTCTTCTTGCCTCCTCCTAGTTCAACACACTTGCCATTGCAAGCCGCTTTTGCCGATAACCCCCCCACCTTCAACATGGCCCCTTCCACTATTGACAAGCTCGAGCGCGAGGACCACAAGCGCGATGCCGACTTCAACAAGGCGCTCCACGGCAAGTCTGCGCAGGCCAAGGGCGGTATCGCCGCCATGTTCAGCAAGGGCAGCGACGCGAAGAAGGCCGCTGTCGACGAGTACTTCAAGCACTGGGACAACCAGGCGGCCAAGGACGAGACCCCTGAGCAGAGGGCTGTATGCTGAGACCTCGAACCCCTGAGGCGCATTTCCAAAGACTAACAAGAAGAAAGGCCCGCCAAGCCGAGTACGCGACTCTGACAAGACAGTGAGTACTCGCCTGTTCATGTGCACATGCCAGCAACCGTCTGACACTTGTTTCCGCGCAGCTACTACAACCTGGCGACCGACCTGTACGAGTACGGCTGGGGCCAGTCCTTCCACTTCTGCCGCTTCACCAAGGGCGAGCCTTTCTACCAAGCCATCGCCCGTCACGAGCACTACCTCGCTCACTGCATCAACATTAAGCGCGGCATGAAGGTTCTCGACGTCGGATGCGGTGTTGGTGGCCCTGCCCGTGAGATTGCCAAGTTCACTGGCGCTCACATTACCGGCCTCAACAACAACGACTACCAGATCGACCGCGCCACGCACTACGCCGCGAAGGAGGGCCTTTCCGGCCAGCTCGACTTTGTCAAGGGTGACTTCATGGTAAGCCGAGATTCTATTCTTGCTTGATCTCCTGTTCAGTCGGTGCTAACGTCGTCTCTCTTTCAGCAAATGTCGTTCCCTGACAACTCCTTCGATGCCGTCTACGCCATTGAGGCGACGGTGCACGCCCCCACCCTCGAGGGCATCTACAGCGAGATCTTCCGTGTCCTGAAGCCCGGCGGTGTCTTTGGCGTGTATGAGTGGCTCATGACTGACGAGTACGACAACGACAACCTCGAGCACCGTGAGATCCGTCTCGGCATTGAGCAGGGTGACGGCATTGCCAACATGTGCAAGGTCGATGAGGCTCTTGCTGCCATGAAGGCGGCTGGTTTCGAGATGATCATGAATGAGGATCTCGCGGCGGGCGACAATGAGTACCCCTGGTGGTGGCCCATGGCCGGCGACCTGTCCTACCTCCAGTACGCCTTTGACTTCTTCACGATTGCTCGCATGACCAAGTGGGGTCGCTTCATTGCGCACAACACGGCCGGCTTCCTCGAGATGATCAAGCTGGCGCCTGCTGGCACCAAGAAGACGGCGGACAGCCTGGGCCTGGCAGCCGACTGCTTGGCCGCCGGTGGCAAGAAGCACCTCTTCACGCCCATGTACCTCATGGTTGCGAAGAAGCCTGAGAACTAGATCAGCTCATCACCGGTTGAGCGAAGGAGCAGGAGTTGGGGCTTTTTTTTATGATGCTAATGCGTAAGGCAAGGGAGTGGCATTAAACATGAGGGGCAGCAGCATGAGCGAGAGGCTCGGCGTACTTGACTATACGATTTAATCTCATGTCCAGCCCACACGTCTGCCTCGCAAAAGAAAAAGAGGGGGTTCAGGACTATTTTTTCATTGTATCATAGATTCGACAATACATGATTGAACAGTTGGGTTAATTTCAATTGTCGTGATAAAGTCCCATAGTATACAACGCGTCGTGTCATACATGCACACCAGAGCAGTATCTGTAGTGAGGCACTTGCTGCTGATGCTGTTGTGCTCAGGGGGCGCAGGAGTGCATGGCAGGCCAACCAAGGGCAGCCAATGTAGACACAGTGAGCGGAGACAGACGGGCGCAATCGGAGACAAACGGGTGTCGACGATTGGATTGCCCGTGTTCCGCCTTACATAAGGCGATAGGAATCGGATAGCGCCTTCCCCCATTAGGACTAGGTCGCTGCCCCCGGCCTCCCTGTCTCCCCCAACGAAGCCAGCCCAGGCGCTGGAAGTTGGTGCGTGCAGGCACTGAGAGGTCCGCTGCAATTCAACGGACTGTCGCTGCGTCGAAAAAGTTGGGGACGACCCGGAAAGCTAAGCAAAAAAAGCTGCTCTCGCTGCGAGAAGGACCGCCTCCGAAATTCCCTCGACAGCTCCATTCTCGTCTCGTCCTCTATCCTTCCGCAATTCAACCCGACCCCCTCCTCCCTTTGGACCTTTCATCCTCTCGTCGTCGGCCGGTGTTTGTGTTCCACCCTTGGGGCTTTCATTTCCATCATTCGCATCATCTTCCTTCCCATCTCGTGTTTGCCCTCGAGATTCCGCAGCTGCCGCCAAAGTCAATTCGCACAGCAACCACACAACCCCCCCGAAGCTCGATTCAAGATGTCCCGACTTCTCCGTCCCGCCACCCGCCTGGCCGCCTCTACGAGAGCCGCCGCCCTTCGTCCCTCTGCCTTCCAGCTCTCTGCCGCCGCTCGATTCCCCTCTTTCGCCGCCCAGACGAGGACGTATGCCGACGCCAAGGGCAGCAAGGACTACACTGTCCGTGAGGCCCTCAACGAGGCCCTCGCGGAGGAGCTCGAGTCCAACGAGAAGGTCTTCGTCCTCGGAGAGGAGGTCGCACAGTACAACGGCGCGTACAAGGTTACCAAGGGCCTCCTGGACCGCTTCGGCGACAAGAGGGTCATCGACACGCCGATCACGGAGTCCGGCTTCTGCGGTCTCGCCGTTGGTGCCGCCCTCAGCGGCCTGCACCCTGTGGTAAGCATTGACTCTGCCCCGGAAGAATTGCCATGATGCGGTAGCCTGTGTGTCGAACACAGCCTGCGTGTCACTCCGGCTCGGGCTGGGACACGTTGGCGGGTTCGATGGTCCGCGCCCCGAGTTGCGCATTTGCTTTTGTCCGCCTGCTGACCACGTCTTTCTATAGTGCGAGTTCATGACCTTCAACTTTGCCATGCAGGCCATTGACCAGATTGTCAACTCGGCGGCCAAGACTCTCTACATGTCCGGTGGCATTCAGCCCTGCAACATCACCTTCCGCGGCCCCAACGGCTTCGCCGCCGGTGTTGGTGCGCAGCACTCGCAGGACTACTCTGCGTGGTATGGCAGCATTCCCGGCCTCAAGGTTGTCTCCCCCTGGAGCGCCGAGGACGCCAAGGGTCTCATGAAGGCCGCCATTCGCGACCCCAACCCCGTCGTCGTTCTCGAGAACGAGCTGCTGTACGGCCAGACCTTCCCCATGTCCGAGGCCGCCCAGAAGGACGACTTTGTCATCCCCTTCGGCAAGGCCAAGATTGAGCGTGCCGGCTCTGACCTGACCATCGTCACCCTGTCCCGCTGCGTCGGCCAGTCGCTCGTCGCCGCCGAGAACATCAAGAAGAAGTACGGCGCCCAGTGCGAGGTCATCAACCTGCGCTCCGTCAAGCCCCTCGACATTGAGTCGATTGTCAAGTCGGTCAAGAAGACGGGCCGCCTGCTGTGCGTCGAGTCCGGCTACCCCGCCTTCGGTGTCGGCTCCGAGATCCTCGCCCTCACCATGGAGTACGCCTTTGACTACCTCCACGCCCCCGCTCAGCGTGTCACCGGTGCTGAGGTCCCCACGCCCTACGCCCAGGGTCTCGAGGAGATGTCCTTCCCCACCGAGCCCCTGATCGAGGACTACATCGTCAAGATGCTGAAGCTGTAAGAAGGAGGTGAATACACGTGGAATGCGGAGAGGGCGAGAGAGGCACAAAGGGAAAGAGAGGAGTAGTTGGCTTGGGAAGAAGAATCGCTGGCGTATTTTGGGAGCCTTGGAATTGAGGTTTTCCTGACCATTCGAACGGCACTACTTCGATAATGGGCCGTTGACGCGCCGTTGGACTCGGGCGGAAAATTGTACTTGTATGCTGCTATGTCATATACACACATCCCATACCACGAGGAATGGCCCGGGCTGCCACGCAGTAGGGAGTGACTGCAGTCCTTTTTTGCTTGAGTCTATTAGAATATGGCTTGGCTAACATTATGTTTTTTTTCCCGCCGTGTGCAAGGTTCTCTCTTGTGAACCGTGCGCTGTAATGTGTCTGACGTCCTCGTAGAGGGATGGCAATATTTGGATCAATGTATAGAAATTATGGCTCAGGTCAGATAGGTATCCAGAGCTGGGTGCACTGGCAAGGCTGGCATAGCAAATGGTTGTAGAGCCGAGCTACAGTGGGGAATATAGCGCGTTCGACCACTGAGCAGGCCCTAATGAGCTGCTGCTCGGAAGCGACACCACGTCATTGGACCAGGGCACCACCCTCCATCTCACTCTGGTCCCCTCCTCTTGCCTGGTGGCCCCATCATCGATTTGAAGCTCAGCTCATACCACTCAACACTCAAATACCACTCTGGCCGTCGAACAGCTGAGCCTCATCCAGCATCTTGAGCTTGGAGAGTCTCGCCAATCATGACGACAGACTTGGCCGAGGCCATACAAGGTCTCCGCCTCGACGAGAAAGACGTCAATATCGACGACATTCTATTCGAGCAACGTCCCCGTAAGCGTGTGAGGCAGGACTCGTCAGAGCTCAAAAGAAGTCTGGAGAAGGACTTCCTCTCGCCATCCACCTTCTTCTCCAATGACTGGCTCAACCGGCTCCAGCAGTATGTCGCATTTGCACCGGCCACCAAGGATACCCCGCTGACACGTGAAACCAGACGCTGGGACTGTCCTGTCGACTACACGGAACTCTTCAGGCTTGCTCCGCCGCAGACTCGCACCGTGACCCGGTTCCAGCGTCACGGCCTCGAGGGCAGGGTCACCGGCTACAAGAACGTCACAGTCCCTGCCAACAGTGCCACGGCCAAGAACTCGACCTCGTTCTCCCGAAAACCCGCTAGCAGGGCCGAATTCGTGCGCGGCGCCGCTGGCTTCTTTCCTTTTGCTCCCGGCGGCCTCGAGGGCGTCGAGTCGGCTGCAGCGCTCGAGGACCAGCTGCATCACACGAGCGGCGTCGACGCCGGGTCCTCGAACAAGCTCGAGAGGGTCATCAAGCTCGGTGTCGACGGCAGCCTTCTCGAGGTTGCCCCCGGTCTCAGCCGCGGTATCAACTTTTCCAGCAAGAAGAATGACCAGGACGAGGCCAAGGCTGTCGAACAGGAGCTCGACGAGGAGCCTGAGCGGGCGCCTGACGCGCAGAATGAAGAGACGGCCGCCAGGGCCGATGGAGACGACGCTGACACCCCTGAGGAGGACGATGGCGAAGACATCGATGCCATCCTGCCGGTCGAGTTTCCTGCCCTCGAACCACATGGCACACTCGCGGCGTCCAGTGCGCGAAAGGCTGGCCGCGAATGGGCGCACATGGTCGACATCGACAGGGATATAACCAACTTTAGAGAACTGGTGCCCGACATGGCGAGGGACTGGCCGTTTGAGCTTGACACGTTCCAAAAGGAGGCCATCTACCACCTCGAGAATGGTGACTCTGTCTTCGTGGCGGCCCACACGTCGGCAGGCAAGACGGTGGTTGCCGAGTACGCCATAGCCTTGGCTGCTCGGCACATGACCAAGGCCATCTACACCTCGCCCATCAAAGCGTTGAGTAACCAAAAATTCCGTGACTTCCGGCAGGAATTCGACGAGGTTGGTATTCTCACGGGCGATGTTCAGATTAACCCTGAAGCCAGCTGTCTTATCATGACGACTGAGATTCTTCGCTCCATGCTGTATCGCGGCGCTGATCTCATCCGAGACGTCGAGTTTGTCATTTTCGACGAAGTCCACTATGTCAACGATCTAGAACGTGGCGTCGTGTGGGAGGAAGTCATCATCATGCTCCCGGAACATGTGTCCCTCATCTTGCTGTCAGCTACTGTTCCCAACACGCACGAGTTTGCCTCTTGGGTGGGCCGAACGAAGCAGAAGGATATCTATGTCATCTCTACACCGAAACGGCCAGTACCCCTGGAACACTACCTATGGGCCGGCAAGGACATCCACAAGATCGTCACGGCCGACAAGAAGTTCAGCGAAAAGGGCTGGAAGGACGCCAATGCTGCTCTTCAAGGCAAGGAGAAGCCCAAGCAGATCGAGAGCAGCGGCAACGCTCGCGGCGGCGGTCCGTCAAGAGGAGGTCAGAGAGGAGGCCAGCGCGGCGGGCCTCAGCGCGGCGGCCAGAGGGGCGGTGGAGGCCAGCGAGGCGGAGGCGGTGGTCAACAGAGAGGTCGCGGTGGTCCTCCCCGTGCGAGCCATGCACCAGGGCACATGGGCCGTGGTGGACGAAGTGGATTCGCATCTGCTGCTCAAGACAAGAACATCTGGGTCCACCTCGTCCAGTTCCTCAAGAAGAACACGCTGCTGCCCGCTTGTATCTTCGTCTTCTCGAAGAAGCGGTGCGAGCAAAATGCCGATGCGCTCAGCAACCAGGATTTCTGCACAGCATCCGAGAAAAGTGCCATTCACATGACGATCGAGAAGTCGGTTGCTCGGCTTAAGCCGGAGGATCGTCAACTACCACAAATCATCCGGCTTCGTGAGCTCTTATCTCGTGGCATCGCTGTCCATCATGGTGGTCTGCTTCCCATTGTTAAGGAGGTTGTCGAGATTCTGTTCGCTCAGACCTTGGTCAAGGTTCTCTTCGCCACGGAGACTTTTGCCATGGGTCTCAACCTACCTACGAGGACTGTCGTTTTCTCCGGCTACCGCAAGCACGATGGACACTCGTTCCGCAACCTTCTCCCCGGAGAGTACACGCAGATGGCCGGTCGAGCTGGACGCCGGGGTCTTGACCCCGTCGGTTCGGTTATCATTGTGCCGCCAGGAACCTCCGACGAGGTACCTCCCGTGGTTGAGCTACAGAAGATGATTCTGGGCGAGGCGTCTAAGCTGCGCTCTCAATTCCGTCTAACTTATAACATGATACTCAACCTGCTGCGAGTGGAGGCCCTCAAGATCGAGGAGATGATCAAACGCAGTTTCTCGGAACACGCCACTCAGCAATTGCTGCCCGAGCACGAGAAGGCAGTCAAGGTCTCTGAGGCCGGCTTGGCGAAGATCAAGCGTGACTCTTGTGACACTTGCGACAAGGATAAGGTCATGGACGTGTGCCATCAGGCATCCCAGGATTTCAAAGAGCTGACCACAAGCCTCTACTCCGCACTGGTCAAGCTGCCGATTGGTCGCAAGATGTTTAGCCAAGCACGCCTGATCATCTACAACAAGGATGGTGTTCGCACCCCGGGTATCCTCCTCGCCGACGGTGCAAGTGTCAAGGGCTCCTCCAGTGGCGCAACACTTCACGTCTGTGAGCTCCGAACACTCCGCGAGACCCGCGACTCGACAGACCTGCTGCCCTTTATCCCTGCCTTCCGCAAATACCTCACTCCCCTTCCACAGCACAAGAAGCAGATGCAGGTCAAGACTCTTCACGTTCCTATTGCTGACGTGGAGTGTCTGACTCGCTATACCACGAAGGGCATCGTGCCCGATATCTTCCAGGGGGGTGAAGAGTACCAAAAGGCAAAGGGCAGGCTGCACGCTCTTTGCAGTGGCTGGGATGATCTTTGGGACGAGGTCGATCTTGCCAAGATTAGGAACCTCGCACTCCAGGAGATCATTGAAAAGCGTCAAGAGGCTGTTCGCACTGCTTCCCACTCGCCTGCGCTCGAGTGCCACAATTTTGTCAAGCACGTACGTGGTGATAATGCGTTCAACCCTTTTTGCTCTGCCGCTAACACTTATGTAGTTCGCCATGTGTCACGACCAGTGGCTCATCAAGGACCATATCGCCCAGTTGCAGCTGTCGCTGTCCAACCAGAACCTCCAGCTGCTTCCCGACTACGAGCAGCGCGTCCTCGTCCTCAAGGAGCTTCAGTTCATTGACGACAGCGCTCGTATTTTGCTGAAGGGCAAGGTAGCCTGTGAAATCCATTCAGGCGATGAATTGGTGCTCACGGAGCTCATCCTTGACAACGTGCTCGCGGACTACGAGCCGGCCGAAATCGCCGCGCTTCTTTCGGCTTTTGTGTTCCAGGAGAAGACAGACAGCGAGCCGACGTTGACGGGCAACCTGGAGAGGGGCAAGCAGACCATCATCGACATTAGCGAGAAGATCAACAATGTCCAGACGATTCATCAGGTCATCCAGTCGACGGACGACTCGAACGACTTTACGTCACGGCCGCGTTTCGGCCTGATGGAGGTTGTGTACGAGTGGGCCCGTGGCATGAGCTTCAAGAACATCACCGACCTGACTGACGTGCTCGAAGGCACGATTGTCAGGACCATCACCCGACTCGACGAGACGTGCCGCGAGGTCAAGAACGCGGCTAGGATCATTGGCGACCCTGAGCTGTACCAGAAGATGCAGGCTGCGCAGGAGCTGATCAAGCGGGACATTACGGCCGTGGCAAGTCTTTACATGTAGAGGGGTTATTTGGGAAACGGGCATAGGGGCGGATGGAAGCATTGGATTGTAGATGATGATGATTGATCACGCATATATGCTGAAGACCTCTTATTTACTGTTCGAGTTTCATCGTTCGTCTGTCACGTTTGTGAAACTCCTTTTGTCGAGAAACTTATTTGCGCATGTCGCCTGTTCCTCATACATGAAGAGGTAATGGCGGCCATCAGAAAGCCAGCGTCAGTCAGTCTGGTAAAAACGATAGATGTAGTTCAAGGTCCCTCTGCTTCCGCCCTCGTCGTATCTGCCTGCAATCCACGATTCGTTCCTCGTGCCCATGTAACGCCAGAAAAAAGATCCCCATTCCTTCTTGAGTGTGTGTTCCAAGCTCTCAAGATATCCCCAGTCACAGCCGGCGTCTATGCACGCAGAGCGCGCAGCCTCTGCTGCAGGGCATCCTCCTCCTCGGCGGTGGGCTCCTCGCGCGCGGGCTCCTCCTTGGCCGGGGTGGCGCTCTCGAGCTGCTGGCTCAGCTGCACGCCAGCGTCGTCGGCGAGCTTGCCGAGGAGCTCGTGGACGGCGTCCTCGGAGACCTGGGTGCTCGTGGACTGGGTGATGGCGTCCTGATAGATGCCGTTGGACATGGCGTACTCTTCATTCTGCTGCTTGAACTGCTCGAGGGTGACCAGGGTCTGCGGGCGACATGGTCAGCGGGCGGGAGTACCAAGGCAGCGTAAAACACGTTGGCAGGTTTTGAGGCAGACCGGCGGCAGGTGGGCGGGGCAGGCAGCGGGCGGCTCACCTTCTCTGGGTTCATGTTCCTCTGTGCGACGGACATGGTCCGCGAGGACTGGCCCATCATGTGCGTCATGCGGTTCATCGAGTTGTTGGCCTGGATCTGGGCGGCCGAGAGCTCGGCCATGTCGGCCATCTGGTCCATCTGCTGGGCGAGGGCCTGCTTGGACAGGAGCATCTTGGCCTTCTGGTAGGCTTTTTGGGTCTCGCCGTTCTTGAGGAGCTGCAAGTGGTGCTGTCAGCGCTGCCGTGCGCATGGTCTAAGCGTCGGGTACAGCGTGCGCAGTTGGGAAGTTTGGAGACATACGTCCTGGATCTGCTTCTTCAGGATGGGATCCTGCTTGGCGGCCCTCTGGGCTTCTCTCCTGGCCTGTTTCGCTTGGAACTACGGGCGGGCGTCAGCGTTGGGTGACGAGCGATACAAGAGTCCTGCTTTTCGAGGCCGCCGAGCATACTCGAAAAGGAGAGAACGTACCCTGGCCTGGAACTCGACCTGCATGTCGCGACCGAGCTGTCGGTTGTTCATGATGGGCGTCGTGCGGTTGGGATGCTTATGGCGGGGAAGTGCAGGACAAGTTGGAAGTGGCTAGTTGGGAGGAAGCAATGGTCCGTCTTCGCGATTGGATGAGTGCCGAACGCTCAGAGTCTCGAGATCGCAACGTGTTTACGAGAGAGAGACGAAATCGAATCGAAGTGGCGATGTGTCGGAGGACTGCGTCTAACAGAGTGTAAGAGTTACTTTGGTGTCTTGGCCTCGTCGGCCGGTTCTCGCACCACATGACGGGTGGGAGCCTCGCGCGGGGGCGGAGCATCGTTCAGCTGTCGGCAGTCCCTGACAGTTTGAGGCAGTCTGGCAGACCGTTGGACCCCGCCAAAAGGGTAAGCCACTATATGACGCAAATTAGTGGCTGGTCAGCCACAGTGTCAGCCACGCCTGTCCGTTCCTCGAGGCTAGTATGCCCTTCAGGGTCTAGCATCTCTTTAAGTCCCCCTACCCCCTACCCGCCCACTAAGATATACTAAAAATAGCAATTTATAGGGTTCTATATCTCTAGTAATAGTGAAGATGGATATTTAAATTTTTAATATAGTATAGATTAAGGTATAAATATAATTATTAAGAGGGCTTTACTATTTATATAAACCCCTAATCTAGTGCTTCGGCTATACTTATAAGCTCTAAATAGGTAGGGTATATAATATAAGGCTTATAATATAGTTAATAGTTAATTAATGCTATCTCTAAGTTACTACTACCTACGTAAATTAGATATACCTATTTGATTCGCTAATTATATAAACTATAATTTATATACTCCTAAAAGCTATAAATCCTAGATATTACTATATTAATTACCGCCCTAGGGAGTCCCCTAATATTAATTTAATACTAGCTCTCTTTCTTTATAGATAGGATAGCTATAAGAACTAATATAAGGAGCTATTACTAGGGTTAATAACCGCTCTAATATACCTATAATTCTCTAGTCTCTAGTATATTAGATCTACTCTTCTAGCTTTAAAGTGAATAACTAATAATAGGAAATAATAGATAGAATAAGAAAAACGTAGCTTAAACCTATTATTCCTATAAACGTTAGGCCTCTAGTTCCTTATAAAGGTATTAGGCTAAGGGCCTAGATTAGGGAAAGTAACTAGATTAGCGAATAATCGATAAGCTATTATATTAACTTTAACTTATTAAGGCTATCGAGTATAGCCTCGACTTCTCTTTTAAACTTAGGCTTATCGCTAAAATATTAGAGATAATATAAATAGAGGTTAGGTTCCTAATATTTAACTCCTTATATTGCCTCCCTTCCTAGAGGTCTAGTGCCTAGACTTATAATACTTTTACTAATACGTCTTACTATACTAGTTTATATAGCTTATAATATATTATCCCCTAGCTTAGTTATAATATATAGCTAGGTTTAGATATATTACTAAAATTATAATAATAATAATACTAATAATAGCTTAGGAGTAGATAATAGTATAGAATAGCCCTTATTATTAATTTATAAGTAATAATTTATTATACCTATTTTATAAGGTTCTCTCCTTTATACTTATTAGTATATATCGTAATCGATATAGGAGGTATTAGGCAACGATTAAGGGTATAGCTTAGTTATAGAATAAAGAGATAATAATAGATAAGAGGAAAGGAGAGATAAAAGTAATTATAGCTCTAGAAGGAGACGTCGAGTCGAGAAATAGATCGAAGATTCTTATAGCCCTTAATAAGAGCTATAAAATAATATATTTTTCGTTTAGATTAAAGGTAAGAAGGTAGAAAGGTAATTAAGAAGAAGGTTATAATTAATTAAGAGAAATATTTAAATTAATCTTAATAATAGTAAAGTATATTTAAGAAGGTATCTATTCTTAATAATTAAGAATATATAATCTGAATAGGAATTACTATATAAAGGGGATTTATAAGTATGT